CATCTGGAGGAATCCCATCTCCTTCCCCCTCCCCAGGCACTCATGGATACAACGAGAGCTCCTTCGAGCTGGAGATGTCCCAAATTGGCTTCTCTGTCCACCTCCTGGAGGTGAGGCTGCAGGGACCGGGCAGGATGTGGCCCCCAGGGTGGGGGGAGGGATGGAGATGGTGGGGGGCAGGGGGGACACGGGGACAGCAGCCCCCACCCATCCCAGGGGCTTTGCAGAAGTGGAAAATAATCCTCAGCCCCATCCCGGGGTTGAGTGTCCCCGTCACCAAGTTGGGCAGGTGACATTTTTAAGGGGGATTTTGGGGACAATGAGGCATCACCGCGCACGGGGTGTCCTCGAGGCGTGTGACACACGCTTCCCTGCAAGATCCCATCCCCCCACGGCATTGTCACCCCCTTCCCCCCCCCACTTTGGTGTCCCCAAACCAGGATGGGATCCTTTTTGGAACGGTGGGAGCCTACGACTGGGACGGGGCCGTGCTGGAGGAGAGCCGGCGCGGCCGCATCGTCCCCCCCCGCAAAGCCTTCCAGCAGGAATTCCCCCTGGAGCTGAAGAATCACGCGGCTTATTTGGGTACGGGGAGTTTGGGGGGGGGGACACGTCCCAAGGGATGTGGGGTGAACAGGGGATGCTCCGTGTCCTGGAGGTTTGGGGTGAAGCAGGGATGCTCCATGTCCCAGAGGTTTGGAGTGAACTGGGGATGGTCCGTGTCTTGGAGATTTGGGATTGAACATGGGGTGCTCTGTCTCCTGGAGGTTTGGGGTGAACCAGGGATGCTCCAAATCCCGGAGATTTCGGGTGAACTGGGAATGAACTTGGAATGAATTGGGGATGTCCTGGAGATTAGGAGTCAATCCGGGATGGTCCATGTCCTGGAAAATCAGGATTGGAGTAGGGATTCTCTGTGTCCTGGGGATTTGGGGTGAACCAGGGATTCTCCAAATCCTGGAGATCTGGGGGAGGACCAGGGGTGCTCCATGTCCCGGAGATTCAGGATTGAACCAGGGGAGCTCCAAGTCCTGGAGATTTGGGGGGGACCAGGGATGCTCCAAATCCCGGAGATTTGGGGTGAACTGGGGATGCTCCGTGTCCCGGAGATTCGGGGTGAAACAGGGATGCTCCATGTCCCGGAGTTTTGGAGTGAATTGGGGATGTTCCGTGTCCTGGAGATTAGGAGTCAATCCAGGATGGTCCATGTCCTGGAAAATCGGGATTGAACCAAGGGTGCTCTGTGTCCCAGAGATTTGGGGGGGATTCTGGGTGCCCCGGGATGCTCCATGACCCAGGGATGTGGGTGGTCCCGGAGATTCAGGATTGAACCAGGGGAGCTCCAAGTCCTGGAGATTTGGGGGGGACCAGGGATGCTCCAAATCCCGGAGATTTGGGGTGAACTGGGGATGCTCCGTGTCCCGGAGATTCGGGGTGAAACAGGGATGCTCCATGTCCCGGAGTTTTGGAGTGAATTGGGGATGTTCCGTGTCCTGGAGATTAGGAGTCAATCCGGGATGCTCCATGTCCTGGAAAATCGGGATTGAACCAAGGGTGCTCTGTGTCCTGGAGATCTGGGGGGATTCTGGGTGCTCCAGGGATGCCTGGGGATGCTCCATGCCCCAGGGATGTGGGATTCTGGGTGCCCTGAGGATGCTCCATGCTCCAGAGATGCTCCATTCCTCAGGGATGCTGGGTGCCCCAGGGATGCGGGATGCCCTGGGGATGCTCCATGCTCCAGGAATGACCATCCCAGGGATTCTGAGTGCCCTGAGGGTGCTCCATGCCCCAGGGATGTGGGTGCCCCAGGGATTTTGGGTGCCCTAAGGGTGCTCCATGCTCCAGAGATGCTCCATTCCCCAGGGATGCTGGGTGCCCCAGGGATGCAGGATGCCCAGGGATACTCCATGTTTCAGGGATGTGGGTGCCCCAGGGATGTAGGATGTCTGGGGATGCTCCATGTGCCAGGAATGACCATCCCAGGGATACCGGGTGCCCTGAAGGTGCTCCATGCCCCAAGGATGCAGGACGGCCCAGGGATGCTCATTGTGCCCTGAGGATGCTCCATGCCCCAGGGATGCGCTGTTCCCCAGGGATTCTGGGTGCCCCAGGCATGCAGGATGCCCAGGGATACTCCATGTTTCAGGGATGTGGGTGCCCCAGGGATGCAGGATGTCTGGGGATGCTCCATGCTCCAGGAATGACCATCCCAGGGATTCTGGGTGCCCTGAGGGTGCTCCATGCTCCAGGGATGTGGGTGCCCCAGGGATGCTCATCACTCCAGGGATGCAGGATGCCCTGGGGATGCTCCATGCTCCAGGAATGACCATCCCAGGGATTCTGGGTGCCCTGAGGATGCTCCATGCCCCAGGGATGTGGGTGCTCCATGCCCCGGGGATGTGGGTGCCCCAGCAATGCTGGGTGCCCCAGGGATGTGGGATGCCCTGGGGATGCTCCATGCTCCAGGAATGACCATCCCAGGGATTCTGAGTGCCCTGAGGGTGCTCCATGCCCCAGGGATGTGGGTGCCCCAGGGATTTTGGGTGCCCTAAGGGTGCTCCATGCTCCAGAGATGCTCCATTCCCCAGGGATGCTGGGTGCCCCAGGGATGTGGGATGCTCTGGGGATGCTCCATGCTCCAGGAATGACCATCCCAGGGATTCTGGGTGCCCTGAGGGTGCTCCATGCTCCAGGGATGTGGGTGCCCCAGGGATGCTCATCAAGGGATTCTGGGTGCCCTGAGGATGCTCCATTCCCCAGGGATGTTGGGTGCCCCAGGGATGCAGGATGCCCTGGGGATGCTCCATGCTCCAGAGATGCTCCATTCCTCAGGGATTCTGTGTGCCCTGGGGATGCTCCATGCTCCAGGAATGACCATCCCAGGGATTCTGGGTGCCCTGAGGATGCTCCATGCTCCAAGGATGCAGGGTACCCAGGGATGCTCATTGCTCCAGGGATGGGGATGCCCCGAGGATGCTCCATGCCCTGGGGATGTGGGTGCCCCAGGGATTCTGGGTGCCCTGAGGATGCTCCATGCCCCAGAGATGCTCCATTCCCTGAGGATGCTCCATGCCCCAGGGATGTGGGTGCCCCAGGGATGCTCATTGCTCCGGGGATGTGGGTGCCCCGAGGATGCTCCACGCCCTGGGGATGTGGGGTACCCCAAGGACACAGGGTGGGCAGAGGATGACACCCCCAACCCGGGCTCTCCCTCCCCAGGTTACGCCGTCTCCTCGCTGCGTCTCCCCGACGGGCAGCGCCTCTACGTGGCCGGGGCCCCCCGTTTCCAGCACAAGGGCAAGGTCATCCTCTTCCAGATGGACACCACGGGGACCGTGAGGGTGGCCCAGGCGCTGACGGGGGAGCAGGTGCCAACGAAGTGGGGGAGATGGGGGAAGGGAGGGGGGCAGGCAGCCATGGGAAGGAAGGGGGTGCTGGCAGCCCCCCCCCCAGCCTCACGTAGCCCCCACTGCGACCCACAGATCGGCTCCTACTTCGGCAGCGAGGTGTGTCCCCTGGACGTGGAGGGGGACGGGGTCACCGACGTGCTGCTGGTGGCAGCTCCCATGTACCTGGGTGCCCAGAGCAGGGAGACGGGGCGGGTGTACCTCTACAGAGTGGGGCAGGTGAGGGGCTGGGGGGGGGTT